GAGAGAGAGAGAGAGAGAGAGAGAGACGGCCTGAAAGGATGTGTTGGGGGTGGGGAGTTGGAGTCTAGATGATCAACATACACTGAACACATACACAAAATTGCCAAAGTATAAAAGATACTCTGTTTAAAAAGAAGACAACCCAAGAAAGGAAATTAAGTGGAATGCCAGGCAAAGCACGCTATCATCCTACTATCCCACTTCCCTCCAAGCTCACACCCCCTCCCTCTCTGAGCCACTTACTCACCTCTTTTCTTTCTGCCTCCCCTATTATCCAATGGATAACCCATGTATCAATATATCCATCCCTCCCAGAAAATCTTTAATTCTCAGAATTATGGTGTTTTAAACTTATAAAAGTACTTACAGTACTATAATTTTAAAGTGTATTCAAAATATTATTTCACCACTCAGTCAACACCAAACCAAACATTATTAATTAGTGTGTGTGTGTGTGTGTGTGTGTGTGTGTGTGTGTGTGTGTGTGTGTTTTAATTCCAAGTCTTCAGTCTGGTGTGTGTTTAGTCATCTCATTGGATCACCCACATTTGAGGAGCTCAATGATCATATGTGGCTAAAGGCTATCATATTGGATAGCACCAGACTAGTTGACACACTGCCGAAGCCATGACAACACATGTCAGCCTAAGTCCACTCCTGTACTTCAGGCATCCCCCGGCTTTTCACCACAGTGACTTCTCTGTCCCACATCCAAGTGTGTGTTTTGGGGTTCAGGGCACTGTACATCAACTGTCAAGTAGGTTTGATCTGTGATTAGTTTTTCACTAAGCCTTATTGAATTATAAATGCTGTAAAATTAAAAACATAAAAAGCAAACAAAAATATAATTCACACACCACAAATCTTTTCAGTAACACAAATACGGTTGATGTATTTAGAATTGTGTAATCATTGCCACAATCAATTTACAAGATTCTCATCATCTTAGAATCAACCACTGCATCTCTTGCCCATCATCCTCTCCACAGCAGCCCAATTTACTCTACAGAAGAAACTAATTTCTGTGGATTTGCCTCTTCCAACTACTTCAGATAGAGTGTTTACACACTCCAGGCTCCTTTTTGACTGGCTTCTTCCCTAGCATCATGTTTTCATGATTCATCCATGCTTTCACACATAGTAATATCTCATTTTCTTCTTGCTCAACTTCTTTTTAATTAATTAAAAAGTCTCCAAAGTCAGCAAAGCACCAGGGACAGGTCCTGATCCCACAGCTTGGAGCCCCACAAACAGACCAAGCCACACAACTGTCACACACATGCACAAAGGCTCCCTGGCTATTGGTTCAGAGACTGTGAGCGAGGTCAGGACATCTGTATCTGTGGGTTCCCCTGTCATGACCTTGAACCCCCTAACTGACACAATCTTTCATCTCTTTCTTCAACAAGGCTCCCAGAGTTCGGCCCAGTGCTTGGCTATGGATCTCTGCATCTGCTTCTGTCAGTTACTGGATGAGTGCTTTCAGGCACACTCTCCACTATCATCACTGCATGTTTTTGACAACTTTGTTAAATATTAGGTGTCTGAGCCAGGCATGGTAGAGCACTATATTACACTTAATAATTTGTGTTTGTTGAGCCATGAATCAAAACCAACTTGGTCATAATGTATGATCTTCTTAAAGTGTTCTTGAATTTATAAATCAGAAACTAAAAGACAATAAGATAACCATACCAGAATTACTGAAAAAGGTGGTCCTTTGAAAATTAATGACATAGACAAAATGCTAGCCAAACTAATCACAAATAAGAGAAAACCTAAATTAATAAAATCAGCGAAGAAACAGGGAAATCCAGAAAATTATTAATAAATATGTATTGTCTTGGCCTGTGTGTTGTGTGTGTGTGTGTATGGGCATGCGTTTGTATGTTTGTGTGTATTTATGTATGTGCATGTTTGTGTGCATACCAGAAGCTGATGCTGTACGTCTTGTGTAATTACTCTTCACCTTTTATTTTGAGGCAAGGCCTCTCACTTGCACCTGGAGCTTTTGGAGTCATCTAGTCTAACTGGGTCTGCTTGCCCCAGGGATCTGCTGTCTCTGCCTCCGTAGCACTGGTATTACAGAGTGGCCACCACGCTTGTCTGGTATTTATGTGGGCAATGCAGATCCATATTCAATCCCTCACACTTGCGCAGCAAATACTTTGCCCGTTGCGCAATCTCTCAGTTTCCCCATCCCCATCAAGGAAAACTATAAAAACTCATATTTAAAAAGCAAACTGAAATCTAGGGAGAGACCCTGACCTTTGAACATGGTCACAGGTACGTAGCAGGGAGTATAAGACCGAGGGAGGCCAGCTCGTGGTCTCTCTCTAGACTGAGCCGACACTGGGAAGCATTTTCTGGGTCCGACCTGCTCAGGGTGCCTACCTGGTCACTGGTTCCCTTGTGTGAGTATTTCCCCTAATAAATTACCAATTATTAACCTCTCTCTGACTCCACTTGTATTCCAAGATACTGAAAATTCTCCCAAACTTTTCAGGAAGACCCAGTACCGGTGCTCCTTAAACTGCTCCATAAAAGAGAAATATGAAGACTATTTCTTCCTCCTCTGTGTATACATATCTTCTACAGTACCAGACTAGTATTGTGAACTGTCTTAGTTTATGCTTGTCTTGAAGTGCCCTTTTTCTATCCACCAAGTTTAAAAGATAGTTTAATTGGGTATAGCAAACTTGCATGGCCATTATTTACTTTCAGAGTCTGAAATATAACATCCTACATTATCCTGGATTTTAGGGTTGCTGATAAGAAGTTTGACGTTATTCTGATGTTTGCCTTTATGAGTTTCCCATTGCAGCTTTTAGTATGACTCCTTTGCTTTGTATTGTTGACATTTTGACTATAATACATCCTGGGAAAGGGCTTTTCTGGTCATGTCTACTGGAGTTCTAAATGCTTCTTGTGTTTGAATGCCCAAATGTTGAGAAATTTTGCTATAACTTCATTGATTAGATTCTGTGTGCTTTGGTGTCTACCTAAGCCTTTTTTTCTAGCCCACAGTTTTCTAGGTTCAGTCTCTTAGCCATATCTCAGCATTCTCAGACGTTGTGGGCATGCTCATTGTTATTTCTTCACATTGATATTTCAGTGCAGTGTTTTGTCAGCCAAATCCTCCATTCTTGATATTCTCTCTTCTGTTTGTTTTAAGTTGATTAGGACACCTTCCACTGTGTTTCCATTTGATGTATTGAATTTTTCATTCCCAGATTTTTTTATTAGTTCAAATTAGGAACAAGCTTGCTTCACATGTCAGTCCCTTCTCCCTCCTTCCTCCCCCTCCACCCTATTCCCAGATTTTTTAAAGTCTTAATTTCTTTGCTGATTTTTTTCTTCCACATTGCTAGATTTTTCATTCATATTGCTATTTTTCTCATCCATATGGCTGACTTTTTCTTCTATGTTACTTACTGACTTTCCTCTCCAGGCTCTAGGTGGCATTCTTTTGCTTATTTGCATTCTCTTTTGGGTCATTGATCATTTTAAGTGAACGCTTGAGTCTTTATATGGTATTTTACTTTCTTCAGTAACTTTAAAATTTTTATTAGTTCATTGAAAGGTTTGTATAATGTGTTTTGGTCAGATTCATCCCCTGATTCTTCCCAGATCCACTTCCTTTCCCTAAACACCCAATTTTGGGTCCTTAAAAAAAGATTCTTCAAGACCAATTTGTGCTGCTCAAATACTCTTGGATGTGTGGTATTTCATTGGAACATGATCAGTTCACCAGGGGCTATACTATTTCAGTATCTTTGTATTTCATAATAGATCTTTTGTTTCCTGATCTTTGGAGGGTTGTGTTGCTTGGCTTTTCCATCCTACTTGTGTCCCTGTGTTGTAGTTTTTGTATCTGCTTGTTTGGATAATTCCTGGTTTCATCTGAGCATCTTCTAATTAAGTAGCTCATGCATGGAGGCATGATCTCCAGTACCACTTCAAAAGGGGGAAAAAAAAAAACACCACCCTGCTATAACAGCAATGGCATCAGGCATACAAGACCTGGAAACACACCTAAAAGCAGTTATAACCCATTAACACATCAGCACCTGTGATCACAAAACTGAAAATGGCATACCCGGGGCCTCTGCTGTCCACTCTTAAATATGTTTGTAAGTATGGACAGATTCTATCACCTTCGGTGATGTAGAACAATATTTCCTAATTGTTTCTTTTTCACTTTATTATAACATTGAGATTTTTCATGTTTAGTGGCAATTTGTACCTCTTTAGTGAGTTATTTGATCATGGAATATTACTGTTTCCATATTGGGATCACAGTTTAACACCTTAATGTACATTCTCTTTTATGTTACTGACATTGGTCCTTCCAACTCTGTGCAGACATTTCACTCCCTGCTCATCTTTCAACTTCATGATGTTTTTGAAACAGTGAATCTGTATATTTTATGTCAATATATTTCCTTGGTTATTGCTGCCATCCACCTGGGTGCTGATGAACTTAAGAGTCTTGTTTGTAGCATTTGTTGATACTTGGGATGCCAGTGTTCCCTCCACAGCTAATTTCTGGCTACCAGCTGATCTGGCTGCAGAATTGATGGATATTTAGCAGTTGGCTATTATTAGTCTAAACAAGCTGGCATGGTGGTTTGAATGAAAATGGACCCTATAGGCCCATATGGATTGGCACTATTAGGAGGTGTGGCCTTGTTGGAGTAAGTGTGGTTTTTGGTAGAGGAAGTGTGTCATTGGAGGCAGTCTTTGAAGTTTCAGATGCCCAAGCTAGACCCAATGTCACTCTCTCTTCCTGCTGCCTGCTGATCCAGATGTAGAACTCTTGACTACTTCCCCAGCACTGTGTCTGCCTGTGTGCATCCATGCTTCCTGCCATGAAGACAATGGACTAAGCCTTTGAAACTGTAATCCAACCCTAATTAAATGTTTTTATGTATAAAGAGTTGCTGTGGTCCTAGCTTCAGTGTGCCATTGGAATTTTATTTATTTGTCTTTGAGACAGGGTCTTACTGTGTAGACCAGGTTGGTTGATCTGTCTTCTACTTTCCAAGGACAGGATTAAAGGCATATGCCCTACTACTTTGATATTTCAAAAGTTCTTTCTTACAACAAAATCAAATATTTATAACTATGTTTTTCTCAAAAGTCCTTAATAATTTCAATCTTTTATTATCCAAATAAAACATTTACTAAGAAAAATCAGAACATAAAAAGAAGTGAAAAGAAAAAAAATCAAGTCAACAATAACCCCACCACAATTTTGTAGCATCAGTGGAGATGTTCCCCCCCCCTCTAAACCTGTGAACATGCGTCAGGTCTTTATGCCTACTGACAAACTGTTGTTAATAAACTTTTACCAATCTACCTATACACACACACACACACACACACACACACACACACAGGAAGGTAAAGCTCAGCTGAAGGCCAGCAAAGAGCTATAGGACTCTTTGAGGACTGACTATACTATTGCCCTCTTTCTTGTGTGTGTTCTCATACTGAATCCATCTGGGAAAGGAGGAGGAAGAGGGACCTCTCTATGAATGATGGAGTATTTACTTAAAAAGGACAGTGTCAACATGAGAGCAGATAGCTAAGCCAGATGAGACTGAGCTGCCTCTGTCTAACAGAATGTGTGCCACACCCATCCCTCAACCTCATCCCAAAGCTCAGTGGCATCAAGACCTTCACCAACTCTTCTGTCAAAGACATGAAAGAGATAGAAGCTGTGTCTATCAGCTTTGTGCCACTGTGACTGAAGACCTCATGTAAACAAAGGAGAAAGTGCTCATGGCTTCAGTCCAGGTTCATCTGAGCCTCTGGCTTTGGGACCTGAGGCCATGCAGAGTATCATGGCAGTGGGGGCATGTGATGAGGGGTTGTTCACATATGGTGATGAGGAAACAGAGAGTAGGGAGTTGGGGAGACAGAGAGAGCACACTCCTAAGCTTGTGGTAGTTCATCCTATAATGCCAGAGCTTGGGAGGCTGAGGCACAAGGGTCACACTGAACTCAAGGACTATCTGAACTACATAAGGTGAGACGCTGACTTAAGAACAATAAGAAAAACAAGTCATGAAGAAAATATAGCCTTTAAAGCCATGTCCCTAATGACCTACTTCCTACAGTTAGGGCCCCATCCTAATTGTCCAATCAGCAGTGAACTCAGAATTGATTAAGCCCATTGATGTAGTTAGTACCTTCATAAACTACCTAGAAATAGCACCATCAGATTTTTCCTCAAGGCCTTCAAGCACAAACCTTTGGGGATATTTTATCTCCAACACATATGTGTTAGTTTTTTGTTTTGTTTTGTCACTTGACACAAGCTAAGGGTCACATTGGGGAAGAAAGAACTTCAACTGAGAAAATGTCTCAATCAGACTGCAGGCAAGCTTATGGGGCATTTTCCTAATTCATATTGGTGTGGGAGGGTCCAGAGCATTGTGGGCAGTGTCACCCCTGGGTAGGTGGTCCTCAGTGCTACAAGAAAGCACACTGAACAAGATGCAGAGAGCAAGGCTGAAAGCAGCACTCTTCCACGGCCTCTGCTTCAATTCCTGCCTCTAGACTCCCACTTTGAGTTCCTTCCCTGACTTCCCTTCATGATATACTGCAACCATAAGCCAAAAGAAACCCTTTCTCTCACACAAGATGCTTTTGGTCATGTTGCTTATCACAGTCACAGAACCCAAACTAGGACACCATAGCAGAAGTACCTCCAGATAGGTACCTAAAACCACAATGCTCATCAGAGTTCAAGTTGACAGCTTACTAAGTTGGAAATGCAAGCTTCAAGTTTTCACATCCTCCTCATCGACTAATGCTAACTTTGTAATAAAAGAAGCTCTAAGGTTGGCCCAAAAGAGTCCATGTTTGCTCTTCTCTGTAGGCCATTCCAAATAAGTCCTCCGTGCCATGAGAGCCCGAAGCTTGTGGTACCTACTGGGAATGTTGTTCTGCGGAATGGGTTCCAGCAAGATCAGGATTAAGTTATCGGATCCTTTGTGGAAGAGATTGTGGTGGGCAAAGTAGAGTTCATAATGGCACCACTCACTCTGGATGAAGTGGGGAGACAACACAAAGATGGATTTGTAGCTCTTCTCGATGAAATGTATGATATTCTCCACGATGCTCTTGCCAGGGATAAAATGCCTCTCGTGGAGGCAAACCCGTATGTCATCTTTCTCTAGGTTTGGTAGTAATTCATTCTTCACCCAGGCAGAATCATGCTCACTGTATGAGACAAAAGCATGGAACTGGAGATTCCTCTGGAGTTCTTTTATGGGGATTTTCCTGGCCCTGTGCCGGGTCTGTGTCCACTGACACATCATCCTTAGATACCAGGGCAGATCAAAGCAGCAGCAGAGGAAAGCCACAATGACAGCCAGCACCAGCAAAGTGGCCCCGATGGTGACAATCAGCAGGACAGTATCACAGGACAATGGAGACATATGGAAGTCCTGCAGTGGGGTCCCCTTAACACTTTCTGGGGAGTCACATGTGTAAGAATCTGGCCAGCCCTCTACCACTTCTCCTGATACTTGGCCTAAGTTTTTGACAAATTCTCTCAGCTCACATGTACATTGGAATGGGTTGTTCCCCGCAGTTATGGACCTGATCTTCTGACAGCTCTGGAAGAAACCTGCTGAGGGATGGGAAACTGAATTATGCTCGATGACCAGCACAGAAAGGCTGCTGAAGGCCCCACATCCAGGAAGGTCCATTAAAGAATTGGATGCAACATTGAGTTCCTGTAGAGCTTCTAGTTTAGTGACTTTTTGAGGAATGCTTTTTATTCTGTTGTTGTGAAGGTCAAGAACCTTGACCTTGGGAGGCAAGCATCTGAAGACAGAGCCAGTAAGTACATTTGAAGACAAATTTAATACCAATATACTCTCAGACCAAGAGCATATTCCCTCATATGCATGAGAGACCAAGGAATTCAAACTAACATCCAAAGTTTCCAGAGAGGTCATATTTTTAGTCATGAGAGCTACCTTGAAAAGGTTCTTCAAGCCATTTTTTTGTAAGATAAGTGTCTGCAGTCCCTTTAAGGTGGAGCAGCCTTGGAAAACACTGTCCGTGAAAACATTCTGGGTAAAGTTCAGAAACACAAACGTGCTTGGGTCTGGAGGGCAGAGCATATGGATAAAAGGTGTGTCTGCGATGGTCAGCATCCTAATGTTCATCTTCACAAACACAGAGTACAATGCCTCCTTTGAAAAGATAAAAACCTGGTTTGTAATGTGCTCTATTGTCAATGCCTTCAGTGCTGTCTTGGAGTAATTAAAATTTTCATACTGGATGCTTTCAGTTATCGTTAAGTTGTAAATGTTGAGGTACTCTACCGGCCTCAGCCAAAGGAATTGGAAAAGTTCAACCAAGCACTTCCAGGTTGTTTCCACATGGTAGAGAGTCAAATTTAATAAGGTTGGACCTCTGGTGAGTTCTAATAAAAATGTAATTAACGTTTGACAGCTTTCATTATTCAATTTAATATTACTCAGTTGTAAACATCCCAAAGCATTCACAGATATGTTCACTTGCACAGAGAACAAGCTATTTGGATGAAAGACCAAATGGAGAGCCTTGGTATTCAGAACCTGAAGACTTTCTGTCTCGTTGTCTTTTACATGATAACCCACTAATCCCAGAAGAATGTAGCTTAGGTGCAAGTGAGCGATTGGGAGCAGATCCAGATGTCTGAACTTTGTAGCGCTTAACCCCAAGAAACTCAGCTTCGTCAAGTTGCCAAACTCCTTGTATACAGGCAACACATCAAAGTCATTGAATGAGAGGTCTAAATGCTTCAAGCTCACCACAGGACAGCAAGAGATGTTTTGCAAGTGATTGTGGGAGACATCCAGGTATTCTAACTCATGGTTGAACTTGAAGACACCGAAATCAAGTCTTTGGATACTGTTATGGGAGAGCCTCAGGGCCCTCAACTCTGGCAGGATGCTGACATCAGACATCTGAAGCTCTTGGATAGAGTTTTGAGACAGATTTAAGGCTTTTGTTCTTGGTGGCAGATCTTTGGGGACATGAGTAAGGTTCCTGTTTGAATAGTCTACTGCAGACTCGAGTTCATCGGAGAACTGGACCAGGCTTCCAACTATCAAGGCCAGGATGCAAAGAACATGAAAACTTCCCACAATGGGTTCTCTGTCTCGGATCATGTTGCAACAGGTATACCAAGGGGTCAGTACCATTTTCACAGCATTTTTACTTGAGTTCAAGCTCTAGAAATAAGGTAAATAAAGATTAGGTAATGGCTTTTAAGCTTCCATTTCCCAGGATTTTAAGTGCTTTTTTCATCCACTCTAGCACTTATCACTATCCCATGGGTTTATCTGTTATTTTCTCAGTCTACAGTTACAGAAGACTATATGAACTTTTAATCAAAGTACCGTGGTTATGTGTTTTGACTAGTCTGGGGGCTTCCAAAAGGATTTTGTTTCACACGCAGAACTTTCTCAGGGCTGGAGCAACCTCCTGGGTGGTGTTTGTCAAAAAAACAAAATTTGAAGACAAATATGCAGCCCCCTGAGCCAGAGGTAACAGAGCATAGACAAACCAAAAGGCCAGAGAAGTAAGAGAAAGGAAGAAGGGATATATATATATATATATATATATAAGCTTTCCTGATATTTTAGAAAAGCAAATTAAGCATCAAGCTTATAGAAATCAGACAGTGGTAACACACACCTTAATTCCAGCAGCCAGATGATGGGGAAGTCCTTCTGTATATATGTTTGTTTTATTGGTTGATAAATAAAGCACTGTTGGCCAACAGGGAAGTAAGATCGGTGAGGCTAGGAGTCGAGGAGGATTCTGGGAAATGTAATAAAGAGGAGAATCATCGCCATATGATCCCAGGAAGAGAGGATTCCTGCTGCAGGTGTCCTGGATAAGATAAGTCTTTATAAAATATATAGATTAGTAGTTATGGTTGATAATTAAGACAGAGCTAGCAAATAAGAAATCCTAGTCATTGGCCAAAAGCATTGTACCTAATATAAGTCTCTATCTGTTATTTGGGGGCCCTGAAGCAGTGGCAGAACTCAGGCAGCTGTTGGTAAGAGTTATCATTACAGCCAAAAGCAGGAGGTGGTAGTACACACCTTTAATCCTAGGACTCTAGATTAAGAGATAGATGGATCTCTGTGAGTGAGTCGAAGGCCACCCAGATCAACACAAGAGTGAATCAGTGTAAAAGAGAATTATAGCTCACACCTTTAATCCCAGCATTAGGAAAGTATATAAGACTGAAGCAAGGTCTCAGTAGGAAGCATTCATTTCCCAGCCACAATGAGGAGAGGCAGCAGGATCAGCCCTTTCAGCCTGAGGTAGTGGTAAGAGCTAGTGACCTGCTACTTTGCTTTTCTGTTCTTCAGCTTGAAGTTTGAACCCCAATATCA